AAATGCCGTAATTACTAAGTTTTGAAAACTATTTACAGACCTAATCGCTCCAAAAGGTAAGCCAATTTGGAATCAGTTTCCAGCCTATTTGATTATATGAACAGTTACTGAAATACATCTTAAATTATTTGTAGAAGAGCTAAAACAAGCTGAAAATTGAAAAACAGTGTAACGTCTATAGTTCTCTATAGAGGACCTCAAAGCATGATGGGGGAAGAAAAGATAAAAGATTACATTACACCTTGACCAAAAAATGGCCTAAAGCAATGATTTTCAAACTTGGGTCTCAAGAGTCCTTTACAGTCTTAAAAGTTGTTAAGGACCTGAGTGAACTTTGTATATGTGGATTAATACATTAATCGGCATTTACTGTTTTAGAAGTTAAAACTGAGAAATTTTTAAAATATTAATTCACTTAAAAATACCAATAAAGGGACAGGGGAAGAAAAGAAAAAATACCAATAAATCTATTAGTTACTAACACTTTCTGAAAATATTTTTTAAAATGAAGAAAAATCAGTAACAGTAGAGTGGCATTCTTTCAGAAGACAGCCAGATTCTCGTATCTATTTATGCATTCAATCTGCTGTGTTGTTTTGGATGAAGTATATGAAGAAACTCTGGTTTCACACATCTATGCAGCTGGAAGGGGAGAGGTATTTTAATATCTTTTTCAGTAGTTATAGATATCTGATACTTCACCAAAACTTGACAAGTGGTAGTTTCTTCATTGTTAGTTGCAATGTGAAATCTGAAACCACATCAATCAACTTTTCATGGATTTTCATAAAATCCATTAGTTGGGGGAGGATACAGTGGCAGAGAGAGTGCTTAGCATGCACAAGGACCTGGGTTTAATCCTCAGAATCTCCACTTTAAATAAACAAACAAACAAACCAAGCCCCACCCCCCACCCCCAAATCCACTGGTCTCTCTTGCACTCTGAGTGGATTTTCGTTCACTTTGTGTACTCATCATTTACAGCAATGGTTCACTGAGGTATGCAGATCTTCCAAATACTTCCATAATATTTTCAAATTACATTATTTAACATCATCACCAATATCATCAGAAAAGTCTTATCAATAAATTATGTTGGTGGACTTAAGTTTTCCAAAATTCTAATTTTTGTTGAAAACTCAAATTTATTCATTGGCAACGAATATTTTCAGCTATTTCCCTTGAAGTGACAGGCTCACCTTGTTCATCTTAGAAAAATGTTTGCTAAATATCCAAGTTTGAATAACCACAGTTTGTCCATCAGCTCTTTCAAATAAAAATGGTATTTCATGCAAAAAACAACTAGCTTAGCTTGCAAGTCAATCACACAGGTGGCTTTTCTGCAGACAACTTGAGACAGGAGATGTGTTTTTCATATCCTTCTCATTTCATCAGGTTAAAATGAAGTGTGCTCAAAGGTAGAAACTAAATAAAATCACCAATTTTCATGGATTCAAGGAGATTCTTAAGTGAAAGTGGCATTGTTTTTTTAATTGCAAATTCATGGCTACGAAGAACACAACGGCCACTACTCCAGTTTGCTGCCACTGCATTACGATCCACGTTAAAACACCAGCAACTTGACCCATCATCACATTTGCAAATGTTGAAAACACTGAGCAAGCGGTGGGGAAAATCCTAGTACTAGTATAAAAAGGTTTTTTGACTTTACAGAGCCCCTGAAAGTGCCTCAGATGACACCAAGAACCTACAGAGCACACTTTAAGAACTTCTAGTCTAAAACAGTATTTTCCAAACCGTGGCATCCCTACATGAAGGGCAGAGTCAAGCCAACAGGATCCTAGAGACAGTTCCACCCCAAACGTAAGATCAACAAACCGGTTCCAACTGTGTGTTTATTTTGGATTCCCATGTAAGATTCCACTTGAAGAAATGGTTCATTCTATGGCCAAAACAGTCCAAAAACCACAGACATTCCTAATTAGAGCTATCCTACAAGGTGTATGTGCTTGAGTAAAGTTACATAGAGACAATCATACCTTGTCTATCAGATCACGGTTGACACAGTTGGGCAACTGCTGGAGGAAAGCATCTACTATGAGCTTGAGATGAGATCCAGTGCTGGCTTCTTCATCCTCTTGTTCTAACATAAAAGTAGTTTTGAAATAGGTTAAAAAAATACATAGACAATAGAAGAATAAAAACATCCAATAATAAGTTATTTGGAACACAGATAATCTAGAGCATTTTTCGCACTCATGAAAAAAATGAAGCACTGAGATATTATCCTAGAAAGTTTGGGCATCTCTAGAATCATAATTCTAAACTGATCATCACAGTCTTTCAGATATCAAGTATAAAAAGGTAAACTTGCATGAGACTCAAAATCAACGTCATAAATTGCATGTAGTTTTATTGTAGATCCATTATTTTTATCTCTCGAGCACCCCTTCTCCCACACCTTCAGTTAACATTATGATCACTGCTTGCCATCAAAGGCAATCCACGGGACTGTGCTGGGGCAGGTGCCAAGCTAAACTAGTTGCTTTTTGCATAGGATACCATTCTTACTTGAAAGAACTGATGGACAAACTGTCGTTGTTTAAACTTGAGTATTTAGCAAAGCACTCAGTACACCACCACTCCTCTCAGCACAGGCCAGCACGGCCCAGGACTAGCCAAGTCCTTCCATGCTGTGCGTATACAGACAGGGGGAGAGAACCCCTCTCATCCTTTGATGTCACCAGCTGGTCTGAGCCTGGGGCAGCCTCGAGCCATGCTTTCCCTCCCTTCATGACACAGAGAAAGAGAATCTACAGTAGGAAACAATGAAGCCAACAGAGAGAAAAGCAATACTGACAAGAAGGTAAGGTATCCTTCTAATAAAGAATTGTAACTAATAAAGAAACCTGATAGGAAGTATGCAGGAAATAATTAACAGTGTGATATTTTTATCACTACAGACAAAACATTATTCAATTATAAAGACAAAAAATTATCACAGATGAACTGATACACTAATTGTCTTTTTATCTCTCAACCATTTTAGAATAATTATTAAATATATTTTTGTACAGATTATATCAGAATTAATTTACATTAAGGACAATGCTAGAAGGTAGAGTATAAGAAATATCCATTAAGATTTAATTATCACTGAAGTCTGTGGTCACATAATATGGGACATGTAGTATTTCTGTTTCAAGTCAAATTCCAAAAAAGTGATGGCCTAGAAACAACAGGAAAACAAGGAATTAAAGAGTAAAGATTCATAGTCACAGGCAAGAGCTTTGTGTATAACAACTAAACAAAAATTAAGGTATTTGGCAGAAGTGTTTACCTTGCTCATCAAGAAGTTTCTTTGTAAGATCTTCAGCTTCATCTCCACCCTCTAACTCCAAAGCATCATCATTAATCTCTAGGTTCTCCAACTCGAGTTCCAGGTCATCAGGATTCGGTACCTCCTTATTATCCTTAGGTTCTTTTGCTTCTGTTTGAAATCAAAGAACCAGTATCTCTTAATTTAAAAGTCATATTGAAATCCTGCTGCAAGAAATACTTAAGGATTCACAAAATCTGTATCATTTGTCTCAGAATCTATAATATACACCTGACAAGAAATTTGATACATTCAGATTTTTAAGAATACATCATTCTCATTGAAAACAAAGACCATAACCTGTTTAACTCTGTATGCCATCTGAACTTAATTAGAGTTCAGACTTTCTCTTGACACCAGTAAGCAAAAAAAAAAAATTTTTTTTACAAATATTATTCTGAAACTAATTTTTACAACACTTAATATAAGAACTTGCCCTCTAGAATTTACCTTTAGAATCATCCTTGTTGGAATCTTTATTCTGACAACTTTTTTCATTATCTTTAAACAAGATGGCTGGAACAAAAGCTTTCAAATCAATGAGGTTTTCATAAAAATTCCGAGCATCTTCATCTTCCCATATACCACCTTCCAAGTCATAATCTCCAGGTTTACCCGGTGTAAATATATCAATTCCAGGCCCATGCTCTACAATAAAATAAATCACAGGGAATTAAAACCATTTCACGTTTGGCAAGCTAAACATAGTATTTTATATTTTCAATTTTATAACTAATGAATCTTGAGGGTTTCAATTAACAGAAACTTCTTCAATCACTCTGGATTGTTCATGTAACCCTCTTCATCATCAAATCACAAATTGTGTTTTAAGGAAAGCTCTCAACCAGGACAGACTAGAGGAGAACATAGGATAAAGACCAGTTTTTTCTTAAATGTTTAAGCAAGTGATATGAGATTAAGTAGCCATTTGATATATCAGGCTTATCTTCATGAAACTTAAAACCAAAATAAGAAATATATAAGGCTGGCCATTTCTAAAACATCCAGCTTAAAGTCCCACCTCCCAGTGAAGCATTTTTTCAAGACTCCCAACCCTCTGTACCACTTATAGCACAAGTATCTTTGCAAATAGACCATAAACCCTTAAGAAGTATCCCTCCTTTTGGCATAAAACTTGGTGTCAGACAGACTGCCGTAAACAGTCAATTGACAAATAACTGGAAAAAAAGGAAAGGAACGATGAAGAAATATATAGACATTCCAGTAGAAGGTGGAAAACCACATATATATTTACATACACAGTCTACCTTTATATACAACCATAGATTCTTAAACTCAGAACTCTAAAAGTAATTAATTTCCTACTTCATGCTTGTGAGACCATTCATGATTTTATCTATTCTCACTTTGCTTCTCAGCAAACTAGAATTGTAAATAAGAGAATAATCATGCATATTAAAAATAACCTTGAAAAAATCAGATTATTCATTAAAAGTCATCTAAGAAAAACAAAAACAATAAAATGTCAGCTCCCTAACTCACTAACTCACTATATGTCTTATAAAAAATGTATTTAAACACAGGACACTAAACCCATTTTAAGGGGAAAGACTGATAACTTTACAATTTCTGTTTAATAAGAAATATAAACAAAAGCAAAGGACAGACTAGAAGACAATACCAGCAATATTTATACAAAGGAATTAATATCCAAAATATAAAGAGCTCCTACAAACAAACAACAAAATCTCAATTAAAAAAATGGATAAAGCCTCTGAACAGATAAGTCAAAGAGCATATGAAAAGATCCTAACCTCAATCAGGGTGAAGGTAAATAAAACAAACACTTATCACTGAATATTTTACATATCTGAAAAATAATGTATCTACACAGTAATTATAAACCGTAGGAAAAAATTTCAACTTCTGAGGAAAAAAAGAGCTACAAAGTCAAAATGCAATAGAAAATTGGGGGGATTCAATATCTTGAAGTAATTTATGGTGAAAAAGAATATGAAAACAAATATATGTATGTTCATGTATGACTGAAGCATTGTGCTGTATGCCAGAAACTGACACCATATAATAAACTGACTATACTTCAGTGAAAACATATATATACAAAAAAAAAATTCTGGAAGAAATATTTGCAATACATATAAAAAAGAATAATTTCTTTAATATGCTAAGTGCTTTTATAATTCAATTTTTAAGAATAGATAAACAGTGGATTTTTTTTAAAAAAGGAAGGGGTCAAGGGCTCAAGCCAATTGTGTCATAAGAGAAAGAATACAAACGAAAAACAGTCAATAAACTTAGGGAAAAGATGCTCAACCTCACTCAGAATGTAAAAATCAAAAACAGCAATATGATAAGAATGTAAGGAAAACACTTATTCTTATATACTTAGTGGCATGTAAATTTCTCTAAAAGAAAATCTGACGTTATATATTGAAATTTAACATGTACATACCCTTTCAACCCAGGAATTCTACTTGTAGGAATTTATCCCTGAAATACTAGCATGCACACAAAGAGGCGCAGGTACAGAGATTTTATTACAGTATTGACTATAATACTAAAAAACAGAAATAACTTACATGTCAATCAACAGAAAACAAGGTAAGGAAAGCACAATTATTCACTAGGATATTACTATGCAGCAATGTAAAAGAATGAGATGGCTCAACATGGACTGATATGAAGAGACATCTAAGATATATAGCTAACAAAGTAGTTGCAGAATAGTATATACAA